GTATATGATTCGATAAATTTCGGTAACTTGATAACTTTCAATAATTAAATTTTTTATGGTCGAATTTATTTCGAACAATTTGAAAACATTTTCTTAGCCTTTCGTTCACCCTAAAACTTATGTATTTCTCTTTGTCTCTCTTTGTAAAATACGAAGTAAAACGAAATTCGAAAACAACATGAGTTGAACAGGTTACAACAACAACAATAATATAATACAAAAATTCGGAAATTTTCAAACAATGATTTTGGCCGTAATTTTTCACCAAAACCTCTCCTCATCTACAGAAAAATACCTTTCCGATGGTTTTGAAATCGGTTCGGTAGAATCGCGAAACGGACAAAATTTGTATTCGCCTACACCTTCCTACACTATGCGAACTCTTAGTATGAGAAAGCAAATGGTTACGGACTTTCTGGAAAATTTAATTGTGCAGCAAAACTGTATTCCATTACAGATCTCTGACATATGTATACTAAAATATGTGTTTTGCATAGTACACTGATGACTGTAATGTGGAAACACTTTGCGAATATTTCAGATATGCATGTACATATGTATGTACGTATGTAGATATGAAAGTGGCATATTAAATCCATCAAGGATGGCGAAAACTATTGTCATTACGGTAACTAAATTAAAGGTATGATAATGATGTGCTTGTGAATGTGTATGTCACTGCTTGCACGAAACTGTTTACTGGTTGGAAATGGAAATGGAAATGGAAATGAAAATGCAGAGTTTTAACTGTTATGCCTCTGTGCCTTTATACACTAAAATTTTATAAGAATCTGCCTTAATTAACTTTTCAAAAAAAAAAACGGGTGGAACTGCTGTTTGCATCTATTTATATATATGTATGTATGTATGTAGGTATGTATGTATGTACGAGTATTTACACGTTTTCAAGTATCTATGTAAGCTAAATGATCAATCGATTATATGATGGCATGCATGATTGTTTGATTGATTGATTGATTGATTGGTACAGTATTTATTTATATGTACATATGTATATTGATAGCGAATAGTGATAAATGTCTGTATGTATGTATGTACATCTATATTTTATTACTTATGTTAATAATGTTAACTAACTAGTATCATACTCACTTTTAACGCCTCCTCGTGATTTATTGAAGTGAATGGCGTACCGTTCACCTCTAGGATTGTATCACCGGGGCGCAGGCCGGCGCGCTCCGCTACTGAATTCTCTTCGATGCGTGAGATATAGACGCCTAATCCTGCCGTTTGCCACCACGGATTCATTGCCACAATTACCACGATTTCGCCATTATTCCAATTCCATTGCGTAGTAGATAGTTTATGCCGTTGATTAAATCGTTGAATTGCGTGTTCATCGATTTGATTAGGCGCACAATTGATTTTGTATTGTAATTGAAAATGTTGGATATGGTGTGCGGGTGTGAAAGAAGAAGGAGAAAAAATTAATTTTAATTGCATCACTATTGAAAACTGGGCTATTCTAGTATACAGTTATGGTTAATAATTTATTGATAGTTAGTCGCTTTTTGTGTGGTTCGGAGACAATATATACATGCATACATACATACATATGCATGTAGTAAATAACAGGAAATTACCAAAAAGATAAAATAAAAACAAAAACTGAACATACATACATATATTTTTGGTAAAAAAAATTCTGTATTTGGGCATACATCTTCGATAATTTCAAAACTAGACATAATTTTTCCATAACTAAAAAAAACGAGCTTACATATACATATATACTTAAAACCTCTCCTTAATTTTTCTTTGTCAAAAAAAAAAAAAAAATCTAAACTCTACATAATGCTTTCCTAATTTAAGATCTTGACATAAATTATTTGGTTAATTCACAAACTGGACATACATTTTTGGTAATGTAAAGTTTTTTTACATAATTATTATTATTTTTTGCCAATTTAAATAAATATACATTATTGGCAGCTAAAAACTAAAAATAATTATCCATTATGCAAAAATGAATTCTAAACTTTTGAGTATTTACAAATGTTTAGTAATATTTTGGGCATTTGAGAATTGCACAGAATTGTTTCGTTTTTGGTGTTTTAAAAGTAGAACATACATTTTTGGGAATGCCGCTGGCTTATCGTTGAGAAATGATGGTATTTCATACAAGATGAAAGAAGGAGTTGGCGTAGATCTGTATTCAGAGGAAATCACTTTTCCTCACTGACGAATGCAGTGCCCTTTAGGGCGAGATCTTTGCCATAGAGAAAGTTTTGTAAAGCAGTATAGTAGGACTTTTTATCGTTGATCGCCATATAGCAATCAAAGCGTTGGGATTCAAAGTAGTGAGGTTAAGAACCGATCGGGAATGAATTGCATCGTCAACACCACTGGCTCACATACAACAATTTTTTTTTGAACTTGAAGGCGTTTTTATTGAAAAATAATTGTTAACAAATGATAGATCTTATAGCTGCTACTTTGAAGATCACAACATCTTCTCATCAGACTTCATCATCGAGTTCACTGGAGTTTGGAATCAGCGACTTGGGCTTACAAAGCCAGTGGTCCACGCACTGAGCTAAGTTCGCGATGGAAACGCTTACTGTTTTTCCACGTTTTTATTTCTCAACCCAACAGACTCACGACAACACTTATCTATGCTGGTTTCCTGGGAAACAATATCGAAGGGAATAAAATAGGCATTAAAGTGGATAGAGAACTCTCAACAACCACCGACTTGAGACCTACTCATGAAAATTGAACAGAGACGACTGTGGAGTTTCAAGGTATTAATGACTGACGGAGTAGGAATTTTTTGACATTAGATAAATCAGCAGTAAATATTCGGGATGCTGTGGTAAAGTAGCATTGCTCCATTGCTTACCGCCTGCATGCTAACTGCAGTGTCTTTCAGCGGATATATTTGCCATAGAGAAGATGGCTTCTCTCTTAAGGGATAGTAAGTATCTGTCAAGGCAACGTCTCTATATTCTTTGACAGCCAGGTGTCTGGGAATAGATTGATGACTTGTTCTCGATGTAAACGCTTCTTTAGAGCAAGGAGTCTAACCCTCTGCCCTACGAAAACCTCGCCAACCCTTTTCCACCTGGACGAAGGAGGTCAGAGTCCAGCTGGGTATTCACGTCGATGGCGTACAAATCCCCGGAGTTATCATCTCCTTCTCGGCGCATACAACCGCTATTGTCAATAGAGTACAGTGTTGACATACACTGACTCTTGACCTGTGAATGCCGTTTTGAGAACATAACCACCAGACGTGGACGATATAGAGCTTCGTCTGCCTCGGAAGACTGGGACCACAGCAGGTTAACCTCGTACCTGAACACTTAACCCCACTCAACTAACACCTCTGACCTTATGGACAGACCCTATAGAAGCTATACGCTTCCTGGGCCTCCCGCTAGTTCAGCTTGACGAAAAGGAATGAGGTACCGAGCCGATCTAGGTGGGGCTGTTGTAGCCGCTACAACAATAGCAACTGTTCCTAACTGTCCAAGGCTTTCATTAAGAGGTTTTATTTTCCTTAAACTTTAAAATGTGAATAAGCATTGTCTGATAAATTTCGCACGAAAGTTGACGCTGCACGATTGCAACGCCTCTATAATCGACTACACCCCAACCACCCGCACTTCCAAGACCAGGTTCATGACACAGTCATGATTCAGTGGACACAGTCATAGTATAATTACATGGACGGATCGAAACTCGACAAAAAAATTGGTGGCGGGGTTTATTCGGAACAGTTGGGCATATCATGCAGCTTCCGTCTTCCTGACTACTGAAGTGTTTAAGGCGGAACTAAAAGCTATTTCAAAGACCGCATCACTGGTGCAGTGTGATACGATTCTTAATCATGATATTTTCATTTTCACTGACAGCCAGGGTGGAGAGATGTCACTATCTTCAAACGTAGTTGCTCAATGCCGGCGATTTCTTAACGAGGTAGCTGAAATATTCAGCACACTCGTTGTCTGGGTACCTTTCCATTGTTACATTCAGGGAAAATGCAAGGCCGATGAACACGCGTGTCAAAGTACTCCGGCCAGCCATGGACGCCATAGACATATTCTAAAGAGGCAGGACATTCTTATAGTGACTGGAATTCTATATTGTCATTGGATTACACGCAGCTAGACTGGGCGCACCATAGAACGACTGCTGCAGAAGCTACATGGATGAGGACGAAGAAGAGACCATCTTACATATTCTCGACCATTGCCGGGCTGTGTCAAAACGGAGAGCAAAAGCTCTTGGCAGTTATTTCTTCAACGATCTCGATGACCTTAAAGCGATAACCGTTAAAAGCCTATACGATTTTTATTAAGCACCAATTGGTTCGTAGGAATGGGGAAGAATGAAAACCTCAAGCGGTATCACGAAGGATCCTGACTCTAACTGAGTGCACTTAGAAATGCCGCCCAACCTAACCTAACTTGATGACTCTATGCAAAGATTTCGTGATTCGATACATAAATATGTGTACCTAAAAGTTGGAAGTCAGAAAGAGAAATGGCTTAACGCTTCGAAGTTAAACTGTCAATCGATTATGGCTTATACATACATAAATATGAATATATTGCCCCAAAAAAAGGGAAACAGCCAACCAGAGAGACAAAGTAATTTTGCAAGGCATAGCCTACATTTACAATCGAGTTGCATTTCTTCATTAAGCATTCATTTATTTAAAACAGAAATGTTTAATTAAGGATTATCACTGCAATTAAAATCAACAGAAATTCAATTTCGACAATAATGGCACTTAAAATGTACGCTTTTATATGGATTCACTATATAATAAAATAAGCCAAGAAGATAAGTGAAAATCATTCCCCCCTTATGTAATATTCAATTACTCCGCCGCTAACCACCTCCGTACCTGGCTACATGACTGCAGCGCCTGTATGCGCCAACAACAGGTTAAATTTTGCGATTCATATCACATTGCAGTAATTAAAAATGGAATGAACAACGGTATAGGACACCATTTTGTCCCGCAGGCGACAACAATTGTCACATACAGTGATTTAAACAAATGACCACGTGTAGATTTTCTTCAAATGTTCGTAGTGTTTTTCGAGCTAATATTTTTTTTTCTTTTTGTCTTATTTTTATATGACGCATTTTTGCACTCTTTTCATATAAGTATGAATTTATTATGAAATAAAATGCGGGAGACCGTCAGCAACAAAAGTTCAAAATATCAACGCAAGTTACCTATGTATATTAAAAACCCGAATAAGTAGCCTCCGAAAAAAAAAAANTAACGAGGTAGCTGAAATATTCAGCACACTCGTTGTCTGGGTACCTTTCCATTGTTACATTCAGGGAAACTGCAAGGCCGATGAACACGCGTGTCAAAGTACTCCGGCCAGCCATGGACGCCATAGACATATTCTAAAGAGGAAGGACATTCTTATAGTGACTGGAGTTCTACATTGTCATTGGATTACGAGCAGCTAGACTGGGCGCACCATAGAACGACTGCTGCAGAAGCTACATGGATGAGGACGAAGAAGAGACCATCTCACATATTCTCGACCATTGCCGGGCTGTGTCAAAACGGAGAGCAAAAGCTCTTGGCAGATATTTCTTCAACGATCTCGATGACCTTAAAGCGATGAACGTTAAAAGCCTATACGATTTTAGCTGAGCACCAATTGGTTCATAAAGCCTAACCTAACTTGATGACTCTATGCAAAGATTTTGTACCTAAAAGTTGGAAGTCAGAAAGAGAAATGACTTAACGCTTTGAAATTAAACTGTCAATCGATTATGGCTTATACATACATAAATATGAACACATTGCCCCAAAGAAGGGTAAAAGCCAACCAGAGAGACGTAAAGTAATTTTGCAAAGCATAGCCAACATTTACAATCCAGTTGCATTTCTTCATTAAGCATTCATTTATTTAAAACAGAAATGTTTAATTAAGGATTATCACTGCAATTTAAATCAACAGAAATTCAATTTCGACAATAATGGCACTTAAAATGTACGCTTTTATATGGAAATATATGTACATATGTATGTCCATACATAAGGCTCGATTCGCTATATAATAAAATAAGCCAAGGAGATAAGTGAAAATCATTCGCCCTTATATAATATTCAATTACTCCGCCGCTAACCACCTCCGTACCTGGCTGCATGACTGCAACGCCAGTACGCGCCAACAACAGGTTAAATTTTGCGATTCATATCACATTGCAGTAATTAAAAATGGAATGAACAACGATATAGCAC